GGCTGAACTCTGGATTTGTTCATTATATATGGCCTGAAGTGCCACATATGTCATTGGAATTTAAAATTGAACTTGATAATTGAAGAATGTGAAAAGATAAACTGACTACAGAAGAAAGTGATAAATAGTTTCTCAGGACTCTTAAAAACACATGCAATCTTTCTACAGGCTGCATTTAACCCTGACTGAGCTCAAGTGTTCATTCTTCCAATAGCTCGCACTGTGCATGAACAGTCTACAGAGGCATCAAGCAAAGCATAGCACAGCGGATACACACAGCATGCATGAAGAATGAGAGTCAGTACCAAAAGCAGATCACTTTCTATGAGAAAGAGCCACTAAACTACTCGGCTAGTCTTTTTTAAAAATATCTTAGCTACCAGTAAATTAGTCACCAGGAACATTTTTAACACAAAGACAAATAAAATGGTTAATTAACATTAAAGTGTTAAGGTACTGAACCCCTCCCCCCAGCTCTATATATTGCAATATAACATCTGCATGAAGTGACACAGAAAAAGTAGCAGTAATTTGCATGTTTCTCAAACTCAGGCTTGGCTGTCTTGTTGTGTAAAAGATACTAAAGGTCAAAACCAGAATTTTTTGATAAGACATTCAGCAGATCTGCGCAGTGAGGGTGAGAGACAGGCCTGCAGGCTCAGGTGTTACAGGAAATCTCAGAGGGAGAACCCTCAGTCACCTTTCACAACAAGCTGACAAATGTACCTGGCTCTGTCAAAATGCATCTGCTGGTTTAACATGAGTGTCTCAAGCTGACAATGATACAAACACATGTGCCAACTCAAGTGGGAGTTCATTCCCACCTGAGCTCCTCGGTAATACCACCTCTTCAGCACCACCACAGCACTGCCGTGTCATCAACACACTTAGGGCTTCTGTTACTATGTTTTTATTTCGTGCAAAGAAAATGAATTTCAAGTAGAAACTAAAATACATTTTTTAATTGGATGAGTAAACCTACCTTATATGGTTAGTCTTACTTGAATTAGTTGGTGATTTTATCATTCGTTCCCTTAAGCCAAATGAGATTGCAAATACTGGCAGAAGAGTGTAATTAATTTAAAATAGAAATTAAAATATTTATAGGTATGTTCATTCATTACTTCAGGATGAATATGCTTAATTCAGACAGTGACCACTGGAACTTGGGATTAATTAGCAACTGTTTTGTTAACAGAGAAAATATACAAGGATACTAGTGTTGAGATGATTTGAAAATGGGCAAAAGGGTAGAAGTATACTTGAAGCAAAAAGTAAAACATGGAGGAAGACAGAGAGTCCAAGGCAGAACAAATGCATCTTTGCAAGATGGGGAAACTAAGCGAGCGCAGGTTGTTTTCTGTTAGACATGATAGTCATTTGGGCTCAATCACATCTGAAACTAGTAACGAAAAAATGTTTAGCAAAACACCAAATGTGATATATGTTGCATTATTTTGCTGATTTCTTTATTTTGTTTTATCTGCGCTCATTTTTGAAACCTTAAACACTTACACCAATTAAGATTTTACTCATTAAGGCAAAACTTAATGGACTTGTGGAGACTCACCTGCGAAGGATCAGTTACAATGATCAAACTCTGAATAAGCAGAGTGGAGAAGATTTTTCATCTACAAAAGATATCACTTCTTTATGTCTGCATAGTGTGTATGAGGCACCTGAAGTCAAACAATTATGCTGGTTATGATTGTAGTCTCTGCTCTCTAGTCTCAACAGACCACATTTTCCCCAGGGCAAGAGAAAACAGCTCTCACAAAACACAGGTTACGACCACTGCTTTACATCAAGCTCGTGGCTGTGACAGTTAAAAAAAATAGCACTTAGGTGAGGCCGCATTCAACAGGGACACATAATTTTTACAATATCAAACATATAATAATAATAATAATTAAAAAAAAAAAAACGTGTGGATTTCTGATAGACACGAGGTAAAGTAAAATATTTGTTAATTGTTTTTTAAAATCTTTTTTCTATCCAAACTTATGAACTTGTTCGTGAATTTCACTTTTCTAAGGATCTCTTTTTTCACAAGTCTAAATTGGCACATTAATGGAGAGTGGGGTCCTGATGGTGTGGCATATACTGCTGGAAACTCAACACTTTCCTCCACAGATAAACATCAAGGTGTTGACTTAGTCAACTCAGTGCTTAAAAATGTTTAGCTTCCTTTGACATTTAGGTAACATATTAACTGATCTGTACATTTAAGAAAAAATATCTTCCTAAAGTATTACTTATAACAAACAACTAATAAGTGGATGGACAAGGAACCACAAACTAAAGAAGAATGACTGGTCACTGCAAAAGAAATACAATTAACTAAAACCAACTGAACAAAAACAAAGAAAGACGTGAGAATATTATGATCAAATCTGATTCTACTGATATAATTTGGATTCAAGCGCATCCCTATTGTTTTCAGCATTGAATGACTATATCAGGTAATCGTCACTGTGCCAACAAATTAACAACTCAGACAAAGTTTTTTACTTGGCGAAGTAACGAATACACCTATAATTTCAAGCTAATTCTTATATTAAAAGAAAATGCTTGAAGCCATTCTTCTTCAATTAAAAAAAAGAAAAAAGCACACAGTAAAATGGACTGTAGTATCTGGGGATGTACAGATCACCTCCACTCCACTCAAGGCCAATGTTGATGTGTAAAATATAAATCTGTCAAAAGTTTTTTCTTACTTATCTGGTTTCTGTTATGTGCTACCTCCAAACGTCTTCAGTGCGAGAGAAATAAAGAAAACTACATTATAACAAAAAAATAAATAAAAAAATAACTTAAATACTTTACAGTTTTCCAACTCTTTACCACACTGTCTTTGATTAGCCAGTGCAAAAATTAATGAGACACAAAGATTAAAATAAAATTGATCACTTTGACTTTATATCCGTGTAGCCTTACTATATTATTCTTTTTTTTCATAAATATATAAGGACATTTACCCTGCTCCGAAGATAGTCTGCCAGATTCTTTCGCGTGAAGTTTGCTGCTGCTGCTGGACTGAGCTCATAACCTAAGAAAAAGAAGGCACAAAGCTTTGGATATAAATGTTTTTAGCAAGCAAACTGGTTTCCCCAAAACATTTTAGAGTTGAACTTAAAACCTATAAGGACCAGCAGCATCACAACAATCATGTCTGAGGTTCTTACCGTTCCTCATTTTGTAGAGCTGCACATTCTTCTGGATGTACTCTGCAAACTGCACTGTGTCTCCAGCTTCTCCCACACACAGCAGCAAAATCTTCTCACTGAGCTTGAACATCTTGTCATAGTCTGAAAAAATATGAGGAAGAACACAAACTCATTAGTCTGTTCCTAAATTGTCTTATAGTTTGTAGTCAAACCTTTATACACACACACACTAATCGTGACCATGGTAACTTTGGGCTATTGAGGATTTCTTTGAACTGTTCTTTTTCCAGCGTAAAAAGGATTTGACTGACACCACTATTTGGATTGACAAATACTCAGAACAATGAAAAAGCCCAAGAAACTGTAGATTTACACTAGTTAGGAAGATCTCTTGGAGCCATCTCAGAACAACTACAGATTCCAAGATCATCAGTTCAAACAAATGAATGCAAGTACAAGTTGTATGGATGTGTCACCACTTTGCAAACACCTGGGGGAAGACCCAAACTGTCACTTTCAGATGAGAGGAAACTGATTAGGCTGTTCAGGAACCACCAAGGATCAAGCCAACCTTGAAATTAAAACTCCTGGTGGCATAGTGCACAGCCAAGGGTGTTTGCATCACCATGGACTGAGAGGGTGCCCACCAGAAAAGAAGCCCGTGCTCCAAAATTGCTGACCACATGGATCACTCAACGATCAAAGTATTACGGCCAGACAAGACAATAACTGAAGTATATGGCCACAATGACAAGATGTTGTTTGGAGGAGTAAAGGTGAGGCTTTCAGATGTAAAAACACTGCATGACCTGTTAAGCCTGGTGGTAGCATCATGCTCTGGGGAAGTTTGCTGGCAGTGGTGCTGGTACTTTAAACAAAGTGCACAGAATAATGATGAAGGACTACCTCCAAATTCTTCAACCTCAACCCAATTTAACAGCTTGCAGGTTGAAGCATCAAGAATTGTGGTCAAAACCCAGTCAGAATTATGCCAGAAGTCTGTTGATGCCTTCCAAAAGTATACGATCAAGGTACAACTTGCTAAGTGAACCAAATACGAAATAAATTCAAACTTGTTCTCCCAACTCTCATTTTTATATTCATTAAAGACACATGCTGTACAATCATTTCACTCTGCAAAAAACCCCAGATCAAACAAATCATTAATAGGCTAAAAATAATCCATGGTGAGTGTAAGTAAACTTCCATTTCCACAGTGATACAGTGACTTTCACTTTCGTTGTCAGTAACCTTCTTATGGCAACTCATGCTAAGGTTGCCAACTTTAGTTACGAATGAAATGAAGAGTTGATCTATTGGCTAGGAAAAGGTTATGATAATGTGAGAAAAACCATCAAACTGCGATAGAAGATATTATTTGCTACTTTACTGTTAGCTTTGCTAGCTCTAGTCACATTCAGTGTGTAGTTACATGTAAATATTTAGCAAAATGAATAGAAAATTGGTTCAAGTAGTACTTATTAGAAGCAGAAAGCCGATTTAATGCATTTAGAGACTCTAAAATGTAGCTATGTTTGCAAGTCTATCTTAAATAACCGGCTATGCGGCTAACGCTACAAGCTAACGCGTTGTCATACCGTGTTTCATCTGAATGATGCTGCTTGCTGCAACATTATCAGCGGCGACGAGGACAAAATCCGGTCCCTGTATCCCGATTAAATATTCCATTCTGTTGACCTGATACAAGTTGGAGTATTTATATAAAACAGATTAAATTATGAGCAGTCTCTTAGCCTCGTCTGTACGGATTACACAGCAAAAGTTTGTGATAGCCGGCGCACAGTGTTTACGTCACAGCAAAGGAAGCTCGTATTTTCCACGCGACGCGGGCGGGCAATTTGAACGTTCGCTGTTGTTGTGTGCCCTGTGTTGGTTGAGTTACAGTCTGATCTGCTGTAAGAGGGGAAAATATCTGGAGTTTCTTCAGGAGACTGTTGGGATGAACGGAGGGACTCCTCGGAGCATAATGACGGACTCTAATAGCATTGACAGCTCGCAGCGGAGACGCTCCCCGCGGCTGAGCTCTCCGCAAGCTCAAAGTGACAACAAAATGGCGCTGCCGTCTCTCGCTGTTAAACGCTCAATCACCGTGAGAAAAATAGCGCCCAGAAAAACAGTCGCGTTATCGGAACAGAACAAGGAGAACACACCGAAGCCGTCCAGGTCTGAGGGCATCCAGCAGAAAAAGCCGAAGGTCTCCACGCCCGGTCCCGTCCCGGGCCGAGAGAGCAGCTCTTCCTCGGCTAAGAAGAAAAAGGCCACTATGCCTTCACCGATCCTCCCCTCATCACCGCCGCCCGCTTCTCACCCCCCGCAGATGGATCCAGAGGACGCGGTGTGGTCGCAGAAGGTACGCCGATCTTACAGCAGGCTCAGCGAGAAGTCATTCAACAGCCCCGAGTCTCGTGAGACTTTATTCGGCTTTGAGAAGCTGAAAACCCCAGAGGTCCGGAGAGCCGGGGTGTCGAAGTTTGGCCTGGAGGTTTCTGCAGGATCCTT